TGTGGATCCTTGATTTTGTGTAGGGAAATTTCCATGAGTCCAGGCGGGTTTTAGAGGGTGTTTACTAAAGCTGGGGACAGCGAATCAAGGAAGGGCTAGGATCACAGGAGGGACTAGGCGGGGAAATGAGAAGTCAGACGAAGAAGTCAGAGAAAAGGGGGCCTTGGAACAAGTTCGGGGGGGGGGAGGGGAGGGGGCTTGCTTGCGACAAACTGCCCCATCCGTTGCCAGCTGCCCTGGTTGCAAGCCTCATGGGGCCCTTGAGTGTTCAGGAGATGTGAGAGGGAGAGCATGTGCTGGGACCTTGGTTTTGAGGGTTTTAAAGTCTAGGAGTTTAAGGGAAGTTTTAGGAGAGGATCTCAATAGAACATTCCTGTTTTATGCGGATGTGCCAAAATGAGATTTATTCTCTTACCTTCATTGGGTGTGACTGACAGATGGCAATGACTGGATCTCTGCTCTCTCCCTCCCTGAGCAGGGTGATTTAAGCTATTTACCCTGAGGTTGGGGAGAATTGCAAACCATTTCCTCTTAAGTGTCCTAAGTCAGGGAAGGTAGGATTTCCTAGCCCAGTGGTCGGCAAACTCATTGGTCTGCAGAGCCAAATATCAACAGGACAATGATTGAAATTTCTTTGGAGAGCCAAATTTTTTAAACTTATACTCCTTCTAACGCTACTTCTTCAAAATAGACTCTCCCAGGCCGTGGTATTTTGTGGAAGAGCCTCACTCAAGGGGCCAAAGAGCCACATGTGGCTCGAGAGCCATGGTTTGCCGACCACCATACTAGATGGATGCAAACTGCTGTTTAACTACCTGGATCACAGGAGGGTAGTTTCCCTATTCTGGCTTCGCAGCCTGTCTCAGCAACAAGCTGCCTCCAGCTTCCTCCGGTCAACATCCAACGAGGGCAAACCTGCAGACCTACCGCCCCTTTGTTCCACTGGAAAGCTTTACACTCCCCGGCCTGCCTCTGGGTCTCTGACAAATGTGATGGCGGCTGATTCTCTTGCTATCATAAGCTCTGACTAGATCGCTGTGCCTTTTCTTATTTGGATGGTCTTCAATTATTCCCATACCAGGTTCCTAACACAAGCTACAGCCCCTACTCACAAGGCGCTCTCAGTTACCCTGGTGTACGTGTATAGAGAACCATAGAAATAGTGTGTGCCCCGTACAAACATGGTACGGAGGCATGGGCATGGTGCTGCTGGTACTGCAAGAGGGACCACAGAATGCCAGGGGGCTTCCGGGGAGTCAGGACAGCGGGGCTGGTTTGGAAATAGGAATAGACACACTGAGGAGACAGCTGTGGGGGGAAGGACGAAGGTTCTCCGCTCTTCTTCTGTCCCCTTCCGGAAACTAAGCTTTCTCACTCAGAGACCCACGTTGCCTATTGACCTGCTCCAGAGAATATCTTATTTATTTCTGCATCTTTATTTTCTTCCTTTCTACTAAAGAATGCCCCTGAGTCTAAAATGTTCTGGGTCTGCTTTACCCACCAAAAACATTGTTGACCTGACCTGGTCAGCCCTACTAATTGCTACCTTCCGTTTTCCTTCCCTTCTGTAAAGAGCATGCACTCTGCAGCAAAGTCTCCGTACCCTCTACAGCAGGATTTCCAACCTTTCTCGTCTTATGGCACAGATAAACTAATTACTAAAGTTCTGCAGCACACCAAAAGATATATTTCTGGCCAATCTGACCCCCAAAATTAGGCGTAACTTTGATTCACTCCCACCAAATGGTTACTGTAGTGTTGGCTGTTGTCATTTTGTTATTGGACAATTTAAGGGAAAAGAGGTTGGTGCCCCTGACTAAATAGTCAGGTATTGCATGTTTTAAAAAGTCTTGTGGCACACGGGCTGGAAATCACTGCTCTAGAGCCCTTTGCATCTGACTCGCACCCTCACTGCTCTGCTGAGTCAGCAAATCCAAAGCCTTCTTCTTCTCCATCTCCTCCTTCTTGGAATTTCCTCCCCTGGTTTCCTTGATGCTCTGCTAACCCAGCCTTCCTCCTACCTCTGTAGCTGCTGCTCTTTCTCCTCTATGGTCATCTACCACCTAAATTTGATCTCCCCCCAAAATCTGTCCTTGGTCCTCTAAGTCTTATCAACCACAGGCTCCAAGTGACCATCAAGTCTACATTACTTGCAGACATCTCCTATCAGTCTTCTGATTTAATCCGAAAGCCCTACCCTCACCTCCAGTCCAGGTTATCTAGAACAACTAGTCAGCCAGACATGAAAACTGGAGGAACCTGATGATGGCATTGCTTATTTAACTTAATCAAGCCAGGAACTACACAGCTTCCAAACTTAAGTGAGATAATAAACTGTCATATTAAAAAATACAGCCCTAACCAGTTTGGCTCAGTGGATAGAGAGTCGGCCTATGGACTGAAGGGTCCCAGGTTCGATTCCAGTCAAAGACATGTTCCTTGGTCACAGGCACATCCCCAGTAGGGGGTGTACAGGAGGCAGCTGATAGATGTTTCTCTCTCATCAATGTTTCTAACTCTCTATCCCTTCCTCTCTGTAAAAAATCAATAAATTAAATATATATATAAATATATTTATATATATAAATATATATATATTTCTTTAATTAGCATATTTCATATATATATATATGAAATATGCTAATTAACCAGGATGCTTTAATGGCTCAACCAGACAAGAGGAGGTTGCACACACAGCGTTGGGTGCGGGGCGGCAGGGGCCTCCACACACCTGCGCTGGGGGAGGGCCTAATCAGCAGCAGCCACGGCTGCTGTGGGGCCCAGGGAGTGAGGCAGGGCTAGACTGGCGAATCGAGGGTGGATGGCACCACTTGATCTCAAATCAAGGCTGGGCTCCTAGTACATATGTAATAAAACAACTGGTCATCTCTCTTCCCAAATCTTTTTTGCTCCTCCTAGAGAACCACAGATCCAAATCACCCAGTCCCCAACCCTTACTGTCATCTTTCATCTTCTGCTCCCTTGTACCTTCATGTCTGCAGTAAGTCCTTCTGGATCCACTTCCCCCTTCCCATCTACATACAGTCCTCTTCTCCTGCTGTCACACCGAGAAGTTAGTCCTTAGAATTTCTAGACCTGCTATTGCAACAACTTCCTCAGTGGCTCGATGGCTCCAGGCATTCCCCACTTTGTCCATTATAAAGAAACCTGCTCTTAATAAAGTCAGATTCTCCAAGGTGGCAAATGAAGGGAGAATGCCTACATAAAGAGAGAAGGTTCAATCAGGCAACCCTGACTTCTATCCCCAAAATCCATCCCACAGCCTTTAAGTACTTGCAGAAGGATGACCTGAGGAAGTTACTTCGTTCAACCATCTTAGCCCAACAATCTGATGAGACTACATTGGACAGTTCTAGAGAGTCTTAATACAAAGATTCTAAGGGGAGGAGGGGGAAATGGAAGGACATAGAAGAGGATAAAGGAAAGATAAATGGTGATGGACGGAGTGGTGAACACAGAATGCAATATGTAGATGACACCTATATAAACTAACGTCACTCCAATAAATTCAATTAAAAATTATACCAAACAACAACAACAACAACAACAACAAGATTATTCTGAAATAGGCTCCAAGGATCTACAAGCTTTTACGCACTCTGCCACGGGAGACCACGTTAGGGAAGGAATTTAGAAAGCCTACCAGCGCACCTGATGTACAAAAATGGCCACTTCAGAAGGCTGAGCCATCAAAGAGAAATACCCACCAGTGATGGTCAAAGTCCCAAATAAAGAAAACTTGGAAGAGTCAAGAGTCTGAGCTGCAAAGCGCCCCCCTTTTTCCTTACATAGATGTTCCTCCCATGCCAGGATCAGTGTTGGGCTTTATTAAGGATGTTAGAGGGTTTCCTTGTAGCCATGTTTCCTATCACTCTGTCCAGACTCCTGCAATGACTTCCAGTGGCTCCCCACTGCCCGGAGTAACTAGGCCTAAAGGCCGTGGCCTGCCAGGTAAGGCACTCTGCCTTCCGGCTCCATCCAGCCTGCCTTTCCACCCCACTTCCCTGCCATCCCCTGCAAACCAATGGAACTGCAGGCCCCTGCTTTTGCTTCCTGTCCCTGCCCCGCTGTCTGGAATCCATCTTTCTATACATACTTGTGGAGTGCTCACTGTGCCCTCTGCCATGAGCTGGGATGCCTTTCTCTCATTTTTCCTTATTCAAATATCACCAATCCTTGAAGGCCTGGTTAACGGGTCACCTCACCCATGACGCCACGATTCCTCAACTAGAAGTGATCCCTCCCTCCTCTGACCACCCCACCTTCTCAAAGCACCTATGGCATCTGCCTCCTCTTACAGCTGTTTGAGTCAATGCCCATGCCCCTACAGGTCTGAACGCATCACTGCGTTTGAAGGTGGCGGTGGAGGGGGAACTACTCCAATGGCCTGGAAATGGACTCTGCTTGTCTGGCACCTGCAGGAGACGAACTCGTTGAGGTCCAGCATAGAGGCCTCCTCACACCCTGTGTCTGTCTGCAGAGAAACAAAGGCCATCTGTTGAATGAATGAATGAATGAATGAATGAATACTTTCTTCCTGTAAACTTTATAGTTTATTTTCACCCTATGAGCGACTTAACCTCATCATCACGGTGAAAAAAATTAAAAGGTAGAAAGAAAATCGCTTTTAGGGTTTTATCGTGCAAAAGCTACCGCAGAGCCTGCAGCCTGACAGCGAAGGCGGGACGCCCTCCCCGGCCGGGCGGCTCACCCTGGGGCGCCCCTCCGCCCCCGGGGGCGCAGGCCAGGCCCTCTCCAAACAGGTCCGTCTCCCCAGCGGCTCTAGACGGGGAGGGAAGGCCCGGCGGGGAGCCCCTCCCGCTTCTTCGAGCCCCGCCTTCCCGGTCCCCAACGGCCCGGGCAGCCCCATCTGCGCCCCAGCCCAGCCCGCGCGGCCGGCCCAGGGGCGGGGAACGGGCGTCGCGGGGGCCCCGCCGGCGCCCCGGGGGCCCCCCAGCGGCGCGCCCGGCCCCACTCACCGTCCGCGCCCCGCGCTCCGGCCGCGCCGCGGGCCAGGCCGAGCAGCAGCAGCAGCAGCAGCAGCGGCAGCAGCGGCAGCAGCGACCGCCGGCGGCGAGGCGGGTGGCCCGCGCCCCGGGGCCCCGGGCCCATGGCCGCCGCGTCCCTCCCGGCGCCCGCGTCTCCTCCTGGGCCGGAGCCGCCGAGATAAGGCGGCGGCGCCGCGGGGAGGGGGCCGCCCGGCTGCTTCCGGCCGGCGCGGCGGAGCGGGGAGCCGCGGGGTCCCGGGGCGGCGGCCCGGCCTGCGCCCTGCGCCCTCCGCGGACGCTCATTCCTTCCTTCATTCATTCATTCATGCACTCGCTCCTTCAGTCCTCCGGGCACCGGCCCGGCGCGCGGTGGTCCCGTGGACACGCAGGGGCAGAGCCGGGAGCCGGCCATCGGGGCGAGCAGGTCCCCAAAGTGGGAGCAGCTCGGGGCAGAGACCCCCTAAGAGAGGCACAGCGGAGCGGAGGGAACGGCCACCGCGCATCCAAGCCGGTGGGGGGCTCAGCGGGGCACCCCGGGGTGGCACAGGGAGTTTAAGGACCAGAAGGAGCAGGAATCTTGTGGGAAGTGGGAGGCCGGTTGAGCGGCTGGAGCTCAAGGGCGAGAAGCCGCTGGCTCCGGAGAGTTAGCGGTCACAGCGCTGAGCAGGTGACAAGGCCTTAGAGGGCGACAGGGTGGTGGTGGGAGAGGGCCTGGCAGGGGATCCTTTTGCTCCGAGAAGTAAGCTAAACCCCTGAGGGTGAGGGAAACGTGGGAACGGAAACTAAGCAGGTGAGAAAGGCACATGCAGAGACGGTGATAGAATGTTCTTCCAGATGCTTGGAGAGAGGCATCAAGATGCAAACAAAGAAGACCTCATAAGCCCAGTGAAGGGGGTTGCCAAGACTCTGTGACTCGATTTTAAGCTGAGTGGCGTCTTCAGGGTCGGGATTGGGGATGGGGAGGCAGGGAGTCTAGCCTGGCCCGGCCGCAGGAATCCAGGTCCAGGCTCCTAGGAGCAGGCACTGGCCTCGAGCAGGGAGAGAAGTGGCCATTGAGATGGTAGGGAGTGTTGTGCACCGGATTTTACGAGCAGTAAGAGTGGAGGAGAAGGAAAGAGGAAGAGCAGGTGTCACCTCCATTTCTGGTTTGGGCAACTGCGTTGATGGCGGTGGGAGTCACTGAGACAGATCCAAAAGGCGTTGTTATAAGTCGGGGTGGGGAGAGGCCACAGGGGGAGAAGAATAAGTTCCATTTTGAAGGCTTTGGACTTGTGATGTCTGTGGGTCTCCAAGAGCAATGGTGATGGGTGGAGTGATGAACACAAAATACAATACGTAGAAGATGTATTATAGAATTGTACACCCCACTACTTCACCCATATCCTCACTCGCTTTCTCTCTCTCTCTCTCTCTACCGTGAGCCTGATCTAAATCTAACCACCCGTGAACACACCCATATAAGGGCTAAACTTGTTGTGCAGCCTTAAAAAGAGGTAGTTAAAAATAAACTTCCTGGCCTCCTTTGTAGCAGGCTTTCTTATTCATTATTTTGTTGCAGTTGTTCAGCGAAGATAAGAGCCTGCTTGGAGGAGTAAGAGACGGGCAGTGCCTGTATGGTAGCCTGTGTCCTGTTATTTAGACAAATTTTTTGTTAAACTCGGTTCTCCATGAACTTGAAATCATGTAATTATTTTCAACAACAACAAAAAACACACTAATTTAATAAATTTGTAAACCAACCTATATCACTTCTTTCCTGTCATGCCCTCCTGCAGAATAAATAAATTTGAATGTATTTGTGAGTGTGCATATTAAGTGGTAATGTTAGGAAAAATTGTCCAAAATTTAGAAGTGGCAGTGGGCAAACGAGGTTATTTGCGGTTCTTTTCAGTGGGTGCTGGGTGTTGTCTGGAAACTTTTCTGGAAGTTAGCTGATTCTGCTGATTCTATAGGGCTGAGTGCCTTGGATGGACTTTCTGTGAATGAGGCTATTTTATAAAGTTATAAAATAGGTAGAAGTTAACATGTGGAAAGTTGATGATAACACAAAAGTTTCTTGTCCGTAGCCATGCAAATTCATCTTTTCAAATAGAGATATAAATTAGTTCTGCCAGGTAAAAATAAGATGAGTCTAATAATTAGATTTTGTCCTATATAGTATTAACCAGTTGATCAATTTTGAATCTATTGGCTAATTTACTTTATCATTCCTGACGGAATATATATACTCATTTGAGGTACTTAGAGTAGTCAAAGTCATAGACAGAAAGTAGAGGGAAGGTTGCCAGGGGCTGGAGAGAGAGGAGAATGAGTAGAGAGTTTCAGTTTTAAATATATATAGTATTTATTTTTTGCAGGGAGGAAGGGAGAGGGATAGAGAGTTAGAAATATCGATGGGAGAGAAACATCCATCAGCTGCCTCCTGCACACCTCCCACTGGGAATGTGCCTGCAACCAAGGTACATGCCCCCCACCAGAATCGAACCTGGGACCCTTCAGTCTACAGGCCTTCGCTCTATCCACTGAGCCAAACCAGTCAGGGTGAGAGTTTCAGTTTTGCCAGATGAAAAGAATCCTGGGGATGGATGGTGTTGATCGCTACAAAATAATGTGAATTTACTTAATGCCACTAAACTGTACACTTAAAAATAGTTAAATGGTAAAAAAAAAAAATAATAATAATAATAATAATAATATAAATAAATAAAATTAAAAAACCAACAACAACAACAACAAAAAAAGTTAGGTGCCAATTTTTATTTTTACCACACTGGCACTAATATATAGGACTTTCCAAACCAGTTTTGGATCCTGGCCAATCAGAATTACAAGGAAAGTTCCCTTGGAAAGTCCCATCCCCCAACCCCTGAGACTAAGTGGAGAGATCCTCAGAGAGCCCTTGGTGGGCTGTGAGGCAACCAGGGGTGGGGAGGGAGAGGAAGAGTAAGAGGAAGGGAAACACTAGCCCAGGATCACCAGGCTTTCCCCCTAGGCGGCCCTTCTGTATCTGCTTACAATGTAAAGTGTGGGGTTGTTCCCACATGGACATAAGGCCGGAAGAAAAAAGGAACAAGAGATCTGGATACCAAATACCCTGGAACTTTCCTGGCAAAATCCCTAGCAGGTCATTGCACTCCTGACCAGAAATGATGTACAGCTTTTCCCAGAGGACGGCTTGAGAATACTACCAGCAGGCTTACCAATTGTAAATAAATCGCTTATATATGTGGGTATTTCAGGAATGGCTTGCATATCTCATTGTGATGAATTTGATATGCTCTGGTATTGAATGCATGGCTTGAAGTTTGCATTAAGAGGAATGATGTAAATGTTTGAAACCCTTGAAAACATAATAAAAAGTGTTTTAAAGTCGGGGGGAAAATGTTTGAAGCCTTTGAATCGTGTTGGTTGAAAAACTGTGGGTTTAATAGAATAAAAAAAACACACACAAAAAAAAACCAAAAAAACTGTGGGTTTGATAAAAGTGAATGTCATATGCCACTCCATGCTCACACACCTTTGTTCCCTGGTTGACATAAGAGGACCACATTGACCCACAATGGAATCTTCATCTCGAGCAGATTTGTCCACACTGGCCTAAGGACCCGTCTCCACAGAGAAAGGCCCCACTAAAGACCGTCTCTAAGTCAAGTAAAGGTGTGCTTCTCACTCTTAGACGCTCAGTGACTCCCTGACATGTGTGGCCTTTTCTAATATGCCTCTCCTGCCTGGAGTTCGTTTGCAGAACTTGGGTAGCAGATACATTCTTGGCTGTGCTATACAAGCAGTGCTATCCACATTTAGCCCACCCAAAACACCAGAGTTCTCAGCAAAGTAAAGCAAACGTGGATGGGAAGTGGCAGCTCAGGAGAGCAGGAAAGACCCCCAGCCCTCCCCACTTCCTCAGTAATGCCTTCCCTCCTCACAGATATACCCTCTGCTCCCACCAGCAGAAACTGGAAGGACAAAAGATTTGGATTTGGGAGCAAATTTCAGACACTCCAACAGACTCAGGTTCAGCGAGCAGCTGGCACAGTTCTCTCCCTTACCCCAGGAGGTGGGAACACCAAGTGAGACTAAGGCTCTGTCACTCAATTTGTCACACACACACACACACACACACACACACACACACACACACACACACAAAGTCACTTGACTTACTTGAGGAAACCTCAGCTGTTGGCCTGTTTGTTCCACAAACTCTAAAAGGAAGCCTTGCTGACAGCCCATTTCCGGACCGACAAGCAACTCAAGGACCCTTGCTGCTACCCGCAGGCCCGAGGAGAAATGGGGCACACCCAGCAATGACCGACACAATTGCTGAGGAATCCCACAACAGCTGTGAAGGCTGGTTGACCTAGACTTTCCTTGGTAAATACTAGCTGACAGCGAAGACCCATATTATTGACCTTGGCAAACAGTGCAATCTTCAAAATATACTTTACTCGGCTATTTTACACTGGAACTTGGCTATAGGTTGTATTGGTTTCTTTGCTTATGCCTGGTTTTGTGTGTGTGTGTGTGTGTGTTCTTCTCCTTCCCCTTTTCCTCTTTCTTCATCTTTTTCTGATACATCTTTAAGTATCTCTTTCAGAAAGTATGTCTGGATGATAAACTTCCAAATTTTGCATCTCCAAATATATCTTGCATTTGCTCTCATAATTTAATTGTAGATTAATTGAGAATAGAATTCTGAATTTAAAATAATTAAAGGATAGGTTAATGGAGTCTAGATTTCTGGGTCCACAATAATTTTCTTTCTGGATGTTGTGATCCAGCACTGGTGTTACAGATGCGGATCACAGGCTCATTTGGTTATAAATTCCTTTCCAGCGATGTGTGTCCCATGCTTCCCACATCAAGCTTTGGGGATTTTCTCTTTCTCCTTGGAATTCAGAAATTTCATGAGACTATCGTTTTTCATTATTCTTGCCCAATTGGTCTCTTTCAGTTTGCAGATTTGAGCTTTTCTTCAGCAGACTTTTTTCCCTTTTGGCTCTTTGATAATCTCATTCTCTCAATTCTTTCCATTTATTACTTCCAGAACTTATGAATGGCAGTTCCTAAAAATTTGCCTCTTGTCTTCCTGATTCAATATTTATCTTATTCCCTTCTTTGCCTTCATTCACTGAATGTGAGAAGACTACCCTAACTTGATCTTCCTGTTCACTAATGTAATCTTCATCTGTACCTACTACTCTGCTCTTCCATCTGTTGGGAAATCACGCTTTTAATTTCCAAGAATTCTGATTCTTTTCTAGAATTCTTTTTGTTTCTGTAGATGTGATAAATTCTTGAATTCCTCTGAGCATGCCAACTATTGCATTTCAA